AGAGAGAGAGAGAGAGAGAGAGAGAGAGAGAGAGAGAGAGAGAGAGAGAGAGAGAGAGAGAGAGAGAGAGAGAAGCGAGAGGTAGAGAGTAAGCCGAGGTTGAGATGCTGTGTGTGTGAGCGGCAGAGCCCGCTGGCGACATAAACGATTTCCTTGTATAATAATAATAATTTGGCGACAGTTCTTCATGCATTGATTGTATCTTGGCTCGGTTTCTCATGTGTGGACTCTCGTGTGAATGTTCTCTGCATACTTCAAGGTTGAGCATTGGTGAGAACTTGCTTCATTTCACTTGGGATAGTGCTTTAGTTCTTCACAAACGGACAATAGTAGCCCCTCATTCCCAAGAATGATCTGACCTCAGTCACAGACGGAGGTTGTGAGCAGTCCCGAATGGCGGCCACCTTCGCATCTTCCTGCCTCAGACCGTCTTGGGATATCTCATGACCCAGATACAAGATTTTGGTGCGAACCAACTCATATTTCTTCAGATTAATCTTGTACAGGTGCAACCGGGGAAGGCTTAGCACGATATCTGGGCACTGTGCGTGCTCCTCCAGAGTCTTACCGAAGACAAGTACGTCATAAAGGTACATGACGATAAACTTATCCAAGTAGTCATGAAAAATCCTATTCATGGCGTGCTAGAACATACCGGTTGCATTACATAGCCCGAAGGGCGCTCATCCGCACGAGCTAGCGCTCCAGCAGCACTGCAGCGACCAAGTCAGCCAGAATGACAAAGTGAGAGAGCCTCACTTCCTTTTCTGCTGGCTGCGAGGCTCGCGGCCCAGCTGGACAGGCTGCGCCCTGTCCCAGTATCTGAGCCCAAGGTCCCTCCCAGAATGTGCCCGGGGCCTAATTGCCTGAGACATGGGCCTCAGCATCTTTGTTGCATACTGTAACGTGCAGACCAGAACAAGAACCGACCTCTCAATACAAAGTACAAGATAACACAGCGGAAGACTTAGATACGAATGATCCGAACAATCAATATTTCAATGCAGCCCTGAACACACATCATCATCATCGTTATCTGGTGTGAAGGGGGTCTGGCGCTTCACACAAGAAGACTGCGCCAGCCCCAACCATACACAGACGAAGGAGGGGTTAGACGAAGAGGAGGGGAAGATGGGAATGTCGTCAACACCAAGTCTCGGCACAGGCCCAAATAGTCCCTCGTCGAATGTCTGAATCCCAAATGTCCAGTCTGGATCCAATGTCGTCAAGTCTCAAGTCACATCTCTTTCTCTCTCTGTCGTAGTCTGAGAAGTCAGGTGGCGAGAGGGTGAGAAGAGATGGTGGACTTAGAAGAGGAAGAANCTCAAGTCACAACTCTTTCTCTCTCTGTCGTAGTCTGAGAAGTCAGGTGGCGAGAGGGTGAGAAGAGATGGTGGACTTAGAAGAGGAAGAAGAAGAACTCTCTCTCTCTCTGTGTCCAGTACTAACCTGTGAAGTTGGCGCCTTGATGSAGGTACCACGAAGATGGAGCTGGAGCGATGGCGCCACAGGTAAGTACCACTGGCCTCCGCCAGTATCTCTCCCAACTCCACGATCTACCACCTACCAGCGCCCAGCGCTCAAGACTACTCTATGGCTATGGGCGCCCAGCGCCGAAGACTACAGCTAGCGCTAACTACTGCCTAGCGCTGAAGACTACTGCAGTGCTCCTCCTGAGTGCTACCCGAATCCTGAAGACTACTCGTGCCTACTGACTCTACCTACCCGTGAAGTGCCTGGGAAGTCCTATGTACTACCACGGGTGCCTCCTGACTGCAGGCGAGCAGTCCAGGAGGCTGCTCTTGCCAATGCCGATCGGAGGCAGGGGCTGCCGTTGCAGCTCCTGCTCAAGGTCGTGGGAACAGGCTATTTCTGGCCTGTTCCTGAAACCCTGTTTCCGTGCCTAAGTCTTAGGGGCGGCTGAAACAATGAGGGCCTGAAAATGGCCCTCTGTTTCAGGCTGGAAAAACTCTGGGTCTGAAAGACCCAGAAATAGGCTGAAACGACCGGGGCCTGTAAGCCCTGAGTTTTATGCTTTTAGGCTGAATGTCCGGGACGGGCCCTGCAGGGCCCGTGTGGCTACGCAGTATGCCACACCCCCCCCTCCTTGAAGAACCGAGCTTACCTGCAAGGGCGAAGCTGTCTGTCGGAGGGAGGGACCACAGTCCAGGTGGGAGGGGCTGGTCGTGAAGCTTCCTGAGCTAACCTCCGCTTTTCATAATGCGCGTAGATCAGCGGTGCGGATGCTTTCAAATCTGCGCCTGAAATCCACCGAGTGTCGTTGCGATCGCATGCTTTGAATGTGACTTTGTACTGCCGCGGCTTGCTGCCGTACTTGCGATCGACGATGACGCGGTCAACTTCCTGATGACCATCCATAGAAGGAGGGTCCTGTGATCGTCGGCCTGGAAAGTCGTCCCTCTTGGCTGGCGTGTATGTTGCTAGCTTCGAGGCATGGAAGACCGGATGGACCGTTAGATGGTCTGGAATGTTGATCACAAATGAAGGGCCATCGGGCTCATCGCCCGCGGCTGCTGTTACAGACCAAGGTCCAAACCACTTGGGAAGCAGTTTGCGTGAAACATCCTGTTTCAGTGCAAACTCTTCCGCGGAGACCCAAACCAGATCACCGGCGCGGATGGGACATGGTACGCGACGCCTGTTGGCTTGCTGCTGCATGCGGACTTGAGCCTTTTGCATGTTTGCGCGGGCTTAAGTCAGCAATTCCCTGAACTTCCGAACAGAAGCGGGAGAGCAGGCAGCGTCAATGTCGGCTGGTCGAGGGAGGAGAAGGTCGGCGAAGATCCGGCCTTTCCGTCCACCGTGGTGCAACTCTAATGGAGTCACGCCGATCGCCGAATGTACCGAAGTGTTGTAGGCGAACTCGATGTCGGGGAGGCGGTCAACCCAATCTTTCTGGTCCGGACGGATGAGCGTACGAAGCATCATTTGAGCGGTCTGATGTGCCCGCTCCGTCTGCCCGTCTGTCTGTGGATGCCGAGCCGAACTTGGTTACATCGTCGTGCCGGACTCCTGCATGAGCGCAGTCCAAAATGCTGACATGAAACGAGTGTCGCGGTCGCTGACTATGTCTTCTGGTACACTGTGGCCACAAATCCAACCAGTGTGCAAGAGGCGTGCCAGCTCGGGGGCCGTGGAGTAGTACTTGCAAGGGAGAAAACGCGCGTACTTACTCAATCGGTCCACAACCGTGAGGATGCCGTCGTGCCCGAGCCSGTCGCGGGGAAACGGACCGGTGACGTCCATGGCAATGGAGAGACCGGGTTCCCGTGGGATAGGCATCGGGGGTAACTCGCCGTAGGGATTGCGGTTGCGGGGCTTGCTGCGTCGGCAAACTTCGCAAGAGTCGCAATACCGAGTGACATCGGTAATGAGGTCGGGCCATCGGAATCGCTGTCGAAGCCGTGCAATAGTGCGGTTGACTCCGAAATGGCCGGCGAGTCGTGAATCATGATACTCGCCGAGGAGGCGAGTCTGAAGACGGCGGTCGCGTGACACACATAGTAAGTCCTTGCCTCTCGAGTGGAGGAGCAAGTACCCGTCGACAATGCGATAGTGGCTGGCCGGCGGGTGATCCGAAGATAGCTGTGCATACAGCGTGGCGAAGTCCGGATCAGACTCGTATGCCCGGATGAAGTGTCGTTGAAGCTCCTCGTTGAATGCGAAGGCATGATGTGTCATAGCGCAAAGATCAGGTCTTCGCGAGAGTGCATCTGCTGCGCGATTTGAGAGGCCGGGAAGATGTTTTGGTGTGAAGTCAAACTGGTCGATGAAGTACATCCATCGTCCGATCATGCTGCTCACCGTATCCTGCGTCTTGTAGTAGGTCAATGGATTGTTGTCCGTAACCCATGTGAACCTATGACGCCCAAGGAGGAAGTGCCGCCATCGCTTGAGAGCGATAATGAATGCGAGCAGCTCCTTCTTCCTTGCATCATCAAGCGAGTTGATGGGAGGCACTTTGTGGCTGAAATACTCCACAGGGTGCCAGTCATCGCCGTCGTGCTGTTCCAAGACTGCCCCAATGCCATAGCCGGAAGCGTCCGTAGTCACTCGCGCCGGCAGGGTGGGGTCATAGATGCTAAGGACGGGTGCCATGAGCATGGCCGTCTGAAGTGCTTGGAATGACCGGCGTGCGTCGTCATTGAATACGAATGGCACCTTTGGCGACTGTAACCTCGTCATAGGTGCAACAATCCTGGAATATCCGGTGATGAATCGCTGATAGTAGCCCGCCAATCCCATGAATGAACGAACGTCCGTGGTGTTGGTGGGCTCGGGCCATACTCGTAGGGCCGCGATCTTGTCCGCAAGCGGACGGATGCCTTGCACCGTCACATAATGTCCCAAGTACTCCAACTCCTGCCGTGCGAATTCGCACTTGTCGTGGTTGGCCTTGTACTTGGCTTGTCGTAGCCGCTCCAAAATGGTGCGCAGGTGTTCCACATGCTCCTCCAAACTCCGGCTGTACACCAGTATGTCGTCGAGGTAGATAAGTACGTATCGATCCAGCATGTGTCGAAACTCCGTTGTCATAGCCGCTTGGAAAGTGGCCGGGGCATTCGTAAGGCCAAAAGGCATGACCAGCCATTCGAAATGCCCATATCGCGTCTTAAACGCGGTCTTGTAGCGATCCTCCTTGTGAATCTTGAGTTGGTGATATCCCGACTTGAGATCGAGCTTGGAGAAGAACTTGGCGCCGCCCAATCGCTCGAGAAGATCGTCGATGTGTGGGAGAGGGCCGGCGTTTCTGATCGTCTGCGCGTTGAGCTTGCGATAGTCGATGCACAACCGCAAATCCTTGTTCTTCTTCCGGACGAAGAGAACAGGAGCACCGTATGGCAATGAGCTAGGCTGAATCCAGCCTTTCTCCATAAGGTCGTCGAGTTGTGCCCGAAGCACACTTAACTCTTCCTCGCTCATTCGGTAGATGCAACTGCGTGGAGGTACGACCCCGTCCTCGAGGATGATCTCGTGGCGGATGGGTCGATCCGGAACTACTCCGTGCGGGCCTTCGAACACGTCGCTGTAGGCGTCGAGAAGCTCGGTGATGCATGGATCCGAAGGTGAGTCCGTCGATGAAGCGTCATGGGGCGGGAGGGCGTGGAGAAAACACACCCCCATCTCCTCGATGTCGTCTCTATGATGAAAGCTCGCATGCTTGCGGCGGATACCACGTGGCAGCTGATCGAAGGGTGAGGAAGAGGCACCCTGCATGGAACTCGTACTCCGTTCCGATCACGAATGTGAACGGTGCGGTGGAAGAAGTTCCCCGGGTGATCCTCGCTTCGCAGCCATGACATGCCCAAGACCATGTCAAATTTGTTGTCCAGAATGTCAAAGGACACCRCCTCACTTGCGTGAGGGGCAAAGTACACAAGGACGTTGTCAATGCACAGGTCGATTGACTTGTGCGTGTGATCGTCCGCCAACATGACTTGCGTAGGCTGGGACTTCCTCCGGACGCGTGGGCCAAGGCCGGAGCGCACCATGAAGTCCTCGCTGATGTAGTTGCGAGATGCTCCACAATCGATCAAGGCGTTGCAGGTCGCCTCTCCGATCTGAATGCGTACATATAGCAATGGTGCGTCGATGTCGTCGTACCGTTGCGTCTTGAACTCGCGGTCGATCTTCGCAATGTAAGCGTGAAGGTCGACAACCTCTACTCCGGCGTCCATCAACGGAGCTGGTCCTGCAAGTAATCCCGCAGTTGTGCCATGAGCACATTGCAATGCGGTTTCGGCAATCGTCCGGTTGGGGGAACGGGCATCCACTGGAAGTCTGTGAACGTCAGTGGGTCGAGCACCTCAAGTCTTGACCACGACGATGAATCCTCGGCGATAGATGGCGGCGAAGCTGCCGAATCAATTGTCGATGGTGATGAAACCGTGCATGCGGTAGATTGTTGCATGTGGAGCGGTTGGTCCAGCGGTGGAACCAAGTGGACAGCATAGTCCTCGTAAGTGTAACGAGAACCTGCGACATTCGCATCCTCCCCAGATGTGCAGGAGGCCGCTAGCAAGGCGGCCGAATCTGGCGGAGTAGAAGGTGGAGTCACCTCACCTTCCGCGGAACTCTGTTTCCCGAGTTGAGGCGGGGTCACACATCCTCCTTGCCCTGATCCTGGCACAGGGAGGTCTTGTGCTTGGTGTTGTTGCACCAATAGCAGCTGCCGTAGCGGCCGCGGACTTTGTACTCCACCTCGGCCAAGCCGAACTTGACCCATGGAACTTGTACTGGCTGTCCATTTCCGGCCTGCGATGCGGATTTCGCCTTCCCAGTGTTGCGGGACTTGTTGTTGCTTCGCGGCTGGACAGCAGCCACCTGATCTCCGTCACTTGATGCTGGAGTGGATGCTGGGTTATCTCCGTCACTTGATGCTGGAGCGAAGTGCTGCTGTCGCGGACCAGTTCGTACCTTCTCCACATAGGTCGGCTGCCATGTTGACTTCTCGTGTGTAGCTGACCTGTTGGTCTTGATGATCTCCACAAAGGGGTGGGTGGGAGGGAAAACGCAGGTAGGCAAACAACCCAACAATACTTTCCTCCGGCCCTAATCAACAGATAAAATAAAATAAAAATAAAAGAGGACTACTTCCTTTTT